CCCACGCACACACACACACACGCTCGCACACATGCGCTCCCTACGTCCCTTCGCGCCGCCGCTCCCAGGTCTGGATCAACGTTGGTGACATCGTGCTCATCTCCCTGCGCGACTTCCAGGACGACAAGGCTGACGTCATCCTGAAGTACTCCGTCGAGGAGGCCCGCAAGCTCAAGCAGAACAAGGAGATCCCCGACGCCATCCGCATCAATGAGGCCAACGTTGGCGCTGACGAGCCGGATACCGACGAGGACGTCGACTTCGACATCGACTCCGACGACATCGACGACATCTAAGCACGCACGCACTCCCCTTTGCCCCCCTGTGTGTATGTGTGTATGCACGCGCGAGACGTCCCCCCTTTCGGGCCCCCAGAGAGGGGAGAGACCCGTGGGCCACGCGAGAGTGGGGTCTTCTGCATGCGGCCCGCTTCCCCCCCCCCTCCAGTCCCCCACCCGCCCGCGCGCAAGAAGGCACCTCTTGCTGTGTCTCGCACGCTCGCTCTGCGTCCCTTGTGTTTCTTCGTCCCCTCCCCACCTCCCCTCCCTGCGTGGGTCCGCTGTCCTTGCACGCCCTCTTCCCCTCTCCCCGTTTGCGCGGGGGATGGGAGGGTTGTGGGTGCGCACGCGCATGCAAGCGTGTGCCCTCCCGCCCCCGGATGCGGGCATAGCCCACCTGCCATGCTGGCCACGTCCCTTTGCGCCCGCGCGGGGCCCGTCCGGGAAACTGGCGCCCCCCGGTGTCCATCATTCACCCTGGCGCCACGCCATCTTCACGGGCGCGCCTGGTCCCCCGCTATGCCTCAAACGCCAAATACACAAATCTCCCCCCTCCCCATCCCGGAAGAAAACTAGATCCCAAGGAAAGGATTTCCGCTGATGCCGCCTGGACTGTGCACCCCCACCATACGCGCACAGGCGAGCGCGAAGGGAGGGGGAACATACATCAATGGCGCACCCGTCCTTTGTCCCATCCATGTTATCCCCCCACCCCACCACCCCCCCCCCCCCCCCCGAAGACCTGGGTTCTGCTGCCCGCTCTGTGGATGGGGGGAAGAGGCGGTGTAGCCCAGGGGGGGCTTCTCTTTGTTTTTTTTTTCCTCGGAGGGAGGGGCGAGAGGAGGGGGG